GTTTCTTTAACTCTCAATTGTGTTCTCTTTCTCGGATTTAAGTAAATAATGATTTTTCCCTCGCTTCCCTGTGGATACGACCCGTTCTCACCATTTACTGCATTTGTAGATGTTTGAGAATTGAAAAAAAATTATAAATATTAAAACTGGTGTTCTGAAGTGGTTAACGACACGCTTCCGGATACACCATGGTTCAAACTCAAAAATAGCAGCATGATAACTAGATTGAAGTTAATGGTCATGTTCATAATACTCCTGTGAAGGATATTGAGCTAAAGTTGGCTTAAAGCCCGATGGGAAATAAAGAGAAAATGAAATCTCAAGAAATCGTAAGGAGAAACTGAAAAGGATACAACTCAAATTCTCCACTAATTTTGGGGGTGAGATAATACATCCAAATGAAGCCGAATAGAGCTCAATGTGGTCATGGAGAGCAGATAAAACACAAAGCCCAACGTGGTCATGGAGTGAACATAAAAATATAAAATAATAATGAGAACAGAAGAAGAAAAGGAACTTACCATCAATCGCCGGTTGATTTCTTGCCATCGAACGTTAGTCACCGGTGATCTGGTAATGGGATAGTGTTTGGATAAGAGAGGGTGGGGCTGTGGGAGGTGAATCTGAATGTGAGAGGGAAGGGAAAATTCAAACTTGTGTCTTGGAAGCTTCAACTAGCCGAATGTAAGGGGTTTTGGCTTTTATTGTCTGTTAGTGGCCAGTTCAACCACCCGAATGCATGGTTTTTAAAACTGACCTAGAGACTGAACCGGTCAGGTGTCCGGTTACCAGGTCGAATGGTCCGACCATTCGAATCGAACGCCCGGTTCAGCGGTTTGCTGACCAAAATCAACGATTTTCTTTGGGGAAAACAGAACCGGTCCGGTTTTGAAAACCATGCCCAAATGAATGTTAATGGCAAAGAACTATTAGTCTGTTATTAACGAATTGAGATCTGCTCCTCACACAGGGCGCCTCACAATGACCTCACAGGCACATCCCATCATGCATTGGGAACATCTCCCACAAATAATAGCACATAAGTACGGGAGATGTTCCCAATACACGGTGAGATGTGCCTGTAAGGTCGTTATGACGCTCCCTGTGTGAGGAGCAGATCCGGTCTCGTTGTTAACACCAATGAGGCAACATGTATGCCTCTAATTGGAGGGTCTACGCTTCCTGGTGGGTTCATAGTATGCGAGCAAAGCAAGAAGATGATGAAGAATGCTTTTCACATTGAACTCTAACAAGGATATTTGGAGGGGTAGTATGGGAAATTTGATAAAGCCATTTATCTTTCGATGCTAAATCACTTGGGGTGGAGGTTTAAAGTTATGATGAATTTAGATAACATACCTAAAAGGTCATGGTGAGTTTCAGATAATAGTAAAAATGTAAACGTTAATCTTAAGCCATTGCTTTGATGCTTTCACTTGGAGAATCTAAGGTTTAAAATAAGAACCTGTTTGAGGAGTTCAGCTTCGATCAGTGCAATGACCGTTCGAACAACCTTGACAGCCTTGCATTAGGAATATCTCCGAGTTCAAATCAGCCCCCACAAGACTGTCCCCCACAACGTCTCACAGCACATCCCCACGGTGTATTGAGAACATCTCCCGATGATAATACCGGGAATGATGATATCATCATTGAAAGATGTTCCCAATACACGGCGGAAATGTGCTGTGGAATGTTGTGGGGGTAGTCTTGTGGGGGGCTGATTCGGTCTCAATATCTCCATACTTATGTGCTTTCTTTCATGAGGAGATATTCCCAATGCATAATTGGAAAAGGCTCTTCGAACGGTGTAAGCATGGAGTTGCACTTACTGAAGCCTGCCTCCTATTTGAGGGGCTAAAGCTTTGATTGGGCTTCCCTGTTCTTTCACCAAACATAGGACATAGCTTATGAATTATTTGGATGGGGCTCACCTCATAAAGCTAGAAGCCACTTTTGTGCCCATTCATGAATTATAAGGCTATTCAGCTGCTTTGAAGTGCTCGCCATAACCTATTTAAAGAGGCTGACGATAGCCGATTTGGGTTCTTTAGATTTTTTACCATATTCCATATATAGCTTATAAGCTGTCCATGTAGGGTCCACATTGGAAGCCAAAGGCTCCTCCATTCAATCCTCCCAAGTGGGCACTAGCTGTGTTTGGTTTGTAAGAAAAACAAGAAAGAAAAATATTTAGAGAAAGGTTTCTAGGAATTTCACAAATTTTATTAACAATTGTCCTTAAGGTCCAGTTTCTCTCATATTCTCCAATTCCATCCAACCAAACATAGCATAAAGCCCTGGGCCAGTGGAGATTCAGAAACGTAAACACATATCTAATCCAGTAGATCCTTCATATGAAGTACAGTTTCGATTTTAGTGTTAGAACTAAAGGACCAAGGTTGAGTAATTATGGAATACCAAAGAGGTCCAAATCAAAGGCAAGGCAGATGCAATTGAAGTATAGGGCCAAATGTTGCTGGGGTACCCAAAGTTTTAAGCCCATAAGCCCATTAGTCACATTTTCTCGGTACGTGGAAGAAATAGGATAGTGCTTTGTGAGGAGCAGATCGAGACTCGCATTGTCTCAAGTCTTTCTCAAACGGAGTATTGACATAGTAATGTACAACCGTACATGACCAAGGTAGAAAAGAGGTCTCTGAATTTAGATTTGCTTCTCACAGAGACAGAGGGCCTCACACCAACCTCCCAGCGCGTTGTAGCTATGCATTGGAAACATATCTCTATGATGTTAACTTATAAATAGGGAAATGTTCTGCCGTGCAGTTCCAAGTGCTCTGAGGTTGGTGTGAGGAGCAAATCCAGACTCAAGGAACTTGTATTGACAACTAACTGAATGGTCCAAATCCAGACTCGGGGACTTTCTGTGTTCATAATTAACTGAACGGTCTCTCTTCATGTGTCTTTTTTCAGAGTGTGCACGGGTCGGTTTGGTTCAATTCCATGGAAGAATCAGGAATCTACTTATAGGAATTGGTTTCATGTTTCTGGAATTGAAACCTATTCTATGAAGGTCAGTTCTGGCCTTGGTGGTTTTGAAGTTAGTTTTAGGGTTTACCTGTGGAACTTGTTCTTTCTTTACTCTTACATTTCTAAAAAAAAAAAAAAGAAAAAGAAAAACACGAAACGTGTCCTTTACAAACTTGATTTTCAATAATGATAATATATAGTTTAAAACTTATATAATCCTTATTGATTAAATTAAATAATTTAATATGAAGATTACCATAATATTAATATATGATTTTAAATTTATCATTATAATTTAAATTTTGTAAATATTACCTTTTATATTATTTATTATACACAATCAAATATTAAAATGAAAACAAATGACCAAATCATTTAAGTAACCCAATGATTAAGTGAGACAATGGCTCTTGTAATCATGAATGCTTGGATTCAAATCTTCACATTCTTAAAAATGTTTTGGAGTTTATTTCAAGACAAATTTGGTTCCAAGGCCGGTATTAAGAAAGTCAACCGAGGCTGCTTCATCAAGTTGGTTCAGATAGGATAAACCCCTAAATCTTGGAACCAACTTGAGTGGGGTCAGTTCCAAGAATTTGGAGCGACCCTACCCTGTAACAGATTGGGTAGGGTCAATTCAAGACTAGTTCAAGGTCAATTCTATTTGGTTTTGAATAAAACCTACCCATTTGCTCACCCTTAGTATTTTCTGCATGCTCAGGTTGGCTATTTGTGTGGCTAAATCTGCCCAAACTACATACAAAATAACAAAGTGTCCCATCTAGAAGGTTTTCACCAAAATTTAACTTCATTCCATGAACCTAACACAAAGCCAGTTGTTTCTTTAATTATGAAGTGTCAAAGTACCAAGGTGATCCATTATTAACATAAAAAGAAAAAAGAAACATTGAAAAGGAGATGTTAAAATGTGAAAAGCTATTTAGGGCGTGAGAGAAACATGCTAATCTGCCTTCAAAAAAAAAAAAAAAAAGCACGCTAATCTATTATCTATTGATTAATCACTAGACTAAATTGAGATATTTTCTCCACATGGAGTCTTCAAATAAGGCAGTTATTATAAAAAGGATAGGCTCCATTGTATAATGTAGTTGAGATACATCCTCTTCCAAAGGAGACCTAAAGGCCCCTCCTTAATTTACATTGAATATTTTTAGGCTATGTTTGGTTTGAAATAAAAAGTAGGAAAAGGAAGGGAAAGGTAGAAAAATCTTTACAAACTTTGTATAAGTTTTCATATTTTTCCCTTCCTTTCCTTACCTTTTCCTTGAAACCAAACATAGCCTTAAATTTTTAGGCAATTTTCTAAAACCTAATAGACCAGATGGGAATCAGACTGCCTGATAAAACTGAAAATCAAGATTATACAGACCATATAATTAATTGTGTTTAACCACATATTTTACTTTTTTCATTTCTTTTAGTCTGATCACTTTTTAGACATATGCGTTAAGATGAATATTAACATCTGAATCTATTAAATAGGCCTAACTCTAAGTATTCAACATATTTGTGACCCTGAAAACTGATATATATGTATCATACGATATACATACGTTGTGATACTTTCTGTTTCTGAACCTTGGTCGTAATTTTTTCTGTTTAATTATGCAACATAAGAGACCTGACGATTCTAACGGAACTAGAAATATGCATGGGTGGTAGTGACAAAGAAGTTCTGATTTGTTTCAATTTATTGGAAAAAATTTTCTTCAGCGGGGTTGTCTACTCTTATAGTCTTATCTACAAAGGGATTATGCATGAAATTAATTCCTATAACATAGAATAATTCAATTGAACTAAACGAAATTTTCTTATTGTTGGATTGGACCTGCTTCAAACTGATTGCAATTACTGTTAACCCGGTCCATTGTGAACTTTGATTTACTTGTTAGATAATCGCCAACACTGGTCATGCATGAATTCTAATTAATCAACCCTGACAATAGAAATTCAAACCCAATTCCTTTTTATGAGGAAGCATAGCTATAGAGCTTACAAATAACCGTGCCAATTGTTTAATGTTCCAATATATAGTACATAAAAAAAAGTACAATTCATCAACTACTAAATAATTTCGTACTACTTCTTCGAGCATAAAAAAGTAATTTTTTTTTTTTTTTTTACTTTTAGTCTCCTCATTCTAACCCTCTCGATCAACTTGGTCTGACCAATGACCACATACAGTTTCATTTAATTTATTAAGCAAAACCTCGGTTCGATCTCTCAGCAATCCAGTAAGTTAAAACAAGCAGGGATTAGACAAGTAACGCAACACAACGTAGCTTAAATTTGTCCGCTTCTTCTTCTTCTTCTTCTTCTTCTTCTTCTGTTTTTAGCTACTAGTTAATTAATAGCAAGTAATTAGGCAGAAGAAGGATAATCAAAGGGCAGAGGAGAAACGGAGGAAGAGTCGAGCATGTCACCGTGCACGAAGCCGAAGGTACGCAATACCTGATTATCTGCAAAATTCAGCGCTTTCTCCATTCCCTTCCAGCAGCTCTCCCCCGAATATATGCGGTTGTGATTTCCATTGCAGGGCTGACAGCCAGTAAAATGGGTGACGAAGGGGCGTCTCCAGCTCCCCCACCCGAACCCAGCCTCCTTCAGATACGGCTCCCTCAGCTGCGCATAGTAGCCGTTCACCTTCTCGGCATGTCGCCTTCTCAGCTCTCCCGCACTTGTCTCAATCCCTACGTACCTGTCGCTAATGTTTTCCAACCTCTCCACGATCTCCAACCAATACCCTTCGAAGTAGTACTGGCTCTCCACATAAATCTTATCCGCCCATTTCTCCTTCTGCTCCAACAGTAAGTAAACCAGCCCGGACTGGTCGTCCGACTCTGCGTATACCTTGTCCTTGAGTACTGATTTCTGGGTCTTCCCCCACTTGTCGTAATCGGGTGTCTGGGGTCCCATGCTCGCCCACACGTCCATAAAGTCCATTGACCACTGGCAGTTTCGAATGAGGAACACACCCGCATTCAGGCTCACCCAACTTTTCTTCTCGTATATCAATTTCTCCCACCCGTGAACCACCATGTTGTGTTCCCTGTACCTCTCCAGAGGCAGCTTGAAATCCATGTCCGTGAACGCCGCGTCCGAGTCCATCCACCATATCCATTCCGCCTCCGGGTGAGCAATCATCGCGGCTCGCAGCACTGGAATCTTCGCCCAAAATGTTTTCATCTCGGGGTGCAAAAGGACATTGTTGTAGAAGATATCGTAGCCATGGATTCGGCAATAATCCACTTTGTTCTTGAAGAATCTCAGGAGGAGGTGATCGCCGATGGGGTTCTGGCACGGCGATGGCTGCGATCCAGACACGAGGAGAATTCGCTCCTGTATTCCGGGGGAAAAATATGGGTGGTGCTTCAGCCATTCACGCCGTTTCTTGTCCCAGTTCTTGATGGGTTTGTCTTTGTCGACGTAGTAGCTGAGGTTGGGGTCGTCATAGAATGTGGGAGAAGAGGGGTCGTGGCTTCGGTTTACCCTCATTGACACAACAACTTGGGCGCAATCATCTGAGGCGAATACCTCCGAGACAGAGGGCTTTGGCCGGGTGACAGCAGAAGAGAAAGTAGGGGTAGGGTTGGGAACAGGCATGATGGAGGACCAGAGAGCGCAGAAGAGTAGCAGGGCCACCATGACTCCTCCGACGAAGAGAATAGCGTCGGTGAGCGAGGAGGAAATTTTGCAGCGATATGAGTGTTTTGCCATGCCGATTGTCTTCGTTGCATGGAATGAAGATTGGTCGGGAGCCAGCATTTCAAAAAGGAGGGTTTAGTTGAAGGGTAGCAGCAGAAAGAGGAAAGAGTGGCAGAGTGGCACTCTACTCTTTCTATTGGCTGAGGCCCGAGAGCTAGTGGAGTGGATTTATGATTACTGGAACAGACGTTGGCGACATTAAAACCAGCCCCTGTTTACATTTGTTCTCTCTTTATACCTCGCCTGCCTAATATAGCCCTAGCCCTGACCTCTCATCAGTGAGTCAGTCACCCCTGAGTTAAACAATGGCAATATAGTCCGTACCAGTACTGGTACTCCCCTCTCCTCGATTTTTACTTTACTACATTAAAACCGTTAGATTGAAATCTTGGGCAGATATTCTTGACCAAACATTTGTATTTTGTAACCGTGCAAGAATAAATAAAAAAACAAGAAGGTATTCTGTAAAGGTTCCTATCCAACGGCACCTATGACCTAACCTCCAAATATGTCACCAGTGCATGTATAGTATAGAATAAGGCTTCAAATTCAAAGGTAGGATCTACTATCAATACAATGCACCCAACACTGTCCCACGGCAATGGTCTTCTTGTTTTATGTGATTGACACGTGGACAGTGTCAAAGTCTACCGACACTTGCGGTTTTTCGTTGGGGTTCCCACGTGACCAATCAAAGGTTTGGGCCTTTTGGCATTTCAGTTGGCTCAGGAGGCTGAGGGTCGTGCTTCGCAACCTGGACTAGAGACTGGGGGCCCAATCGCTTGCTATTCGCATCTCCCGTGTTCGGTGTTTCAGCTTTATCAGGAGCCAGTCCAAAATGGGCCTACTGAATCATTACAAGTATAATATAACGCTTCAAATATCATGAAAACTGAGAAGGACATAAATGTATACAGCAGAGGCTCTCCTTTCAATTTCATTTCGGTAAATTGCTGAATCCTTTTTTGACATAATTGCAAATAGACCCTTTTTGTTAGATATTCAAATGTTCGAAATATTCATATATTTATTTTGATCAAAATATTTATTTTTTAAATTCTCTACATATGAATTGCTACTCCAAATCCTTTCTATCTCTTTCTGAAATTGATTTATTTTTCAAAATTAACCTTCATATCAATCATTCAAAGGTAAGGTTATAACTTTAAATTCTTTTTGTTTTTTTATTTTCATAAAGTTTGTATTATTTTTCTGTAGAAATTAACCTCAATAGTAACTATATGAATATTTTGGACATTCATATATTAATTAAGCAAGTATTAATAAATGAATGAGGTAGCACGACCTTTCCTGAATTTGTGCTTGAATTTCTTGTGGAGGGAGATCTCCAATCTCCATTGTAATTAATGGCCATCCACTCCAAAAAATAATGTGTCTATAAGGCTTTCTTTGGAGCCAGATTTCGTACTCACTTTTCCTACCCACTCTCTACCTGCAGTGAAATAGAGTCACACATCTCTCAATATATAATAGAGATGTGTGACTCCAATTCACGACAAGGGTAGAAAAAGTGAGTAGAAAATCCTGAATGCTTTCTTTCCCTACAGGAGACTCTACATTAATTGAATTATAATTTTGTCAATTCCACTGAAATTGTGGATTGTTGAGGAGTGGAACTGAATTTCTTTTACCAAACAAAAAAAAAATATAAATAAAAGAAACTGAATTTCAATTGCACTGAAATTAGAATTAGCACCCACTTTTGGTGTCACCTGAAATCCACAACTCTGAATTCAAAAGTATGGTATGCTAGCTGAAAAATGAAAATGGTGGAAATAAGAGATTAGTTGTAATGAATAAATAATTTAACCATCAGTAGAAATGAACTGGACATGATTACAAGCAGAAGCAACTTACTCGTAATTTACTAATATATAAGTCATCCAAATCGATGTGTATCATATACCTACCAAGTTAGTTGGGGGGTTACAAATTGCTATTAGTTTACATACTCCACTTGTTATAGTGCAGCAGAGGCACCCCCTGCGGATGGCAAACCCATATTCTCAAATCTCAAACAGCCATTGGATAACTTCTTAGTGGGTCCCACCCATGTGTCTATTAATTTTAGGAAGATTTACAATGACATTACCCAACTAGTCATCTACCCCTACACCTTTCCCCAAAATGGTGAAAGGTGTGGAAGAGGCTGATATTAGAGTGATAGGAGCAATAAGGAAGCAAAGGGTATAAGACGATATTATGGCTCACTTCACTTGATTTCTTTTCCACAACAACCATCTTACATTTGAGTGGAAGGTTGATTTGAAATTCGTCCTACACTTCACCAATGCGTACCCAGATTGATTTCTTTCTTCTTCTTTTTGGAAAGATAGTTGGATTTTGGAGGAGGCAAGAATTAGTAGAAAATCAACAAAAAGAAGCCATATCACATATATTGGGAGTAGGGAAATGGACCCGCAATCGGCTAGAGTTTCTCAAACATGGCAAATTCCTGTAGAATACGCATGCATATTTTGACATTATATTTGCCCTCTCTAAAGAAACATTTCAAATCATAGGGGCTTTCCAAGATCTGGATTAATATGAAGTTTACAAGATTACAGTTTTGTATTAATCAGAAACAACATCAGACCTTTAGAAGGGACACTTGACTGGTGTGCCTACCGACTGTGCCTTTCTACCGGAAGATCCAGAACCACTCTTTCAAAATAAGGGCTTTGATCAACTAGGGTACCAAGTCATTTATATATTTGTTTTGGTTTTTGTGTAAATCATACAAGTTAAATTTAATTATGTAATGTCAAATTATATCTTCGCCTTTTACTTGCATATAGCATGCAGGTGCCCTTGCACTAAAATAATAGAAAGAGGACAGTGGAGAGGTAAGGAGTCCTCTCATCATACCTCTTCTTTCTCACTCATGTGGTTATTTATCTTTAAATTAAATTATTATAAATATTACTAAAAATATAATAAGACAAAATTAAAACCATCATGAGTCTTCATTCATAAAATATATAAGTACTCTCTCTCTCTCAACCTTAATAGTCAATGTTTGCAACACATCTCCCCTCATCCATTTTAAGTCCTTTTTCTCTTAAATCTCTTTTAACCCTTTTTTTCTCTCTCTAATAAAGTAAGCTGTAAATTATAGATGGACTGGGTTAGGTTAAGAGCCAAATATGTAGGGACGCATGGTGATCATAAAAAAAAACCCTGAAAACTAAATCAAACCGAGAAAATCAAACTGAAAAATCCAATTAACCAAATCAACCAGTTCAATTTCAATTCGATATTTTTGAAAAGCTGAAGGATTACTGGCTCAATATTTTATTAACCTAAAAAACTAAAAGTTAACTGAACTGGTCAAACCAAAGAATCGAACTGGTCAAACATCAAAACCGGTCAACCAGTTAACTGGTTGGCCAATAGTATCGGTTCAATGTCAAAAAATAACCCACATTTTGGTTAGCTAAATTGTAAGCACCCCTACAAAGGAATAGGGGCAGGGATAATGAGCCATATGCACACCTCATGGCAGACCCAAACAGCCTTGCCTAAACTGCCTATATATATATATATATATATATACATAAACTGCCTCTCGTATCTTCGAATGGCATTTTTCTATTTCACCCCTACCCTGCTAGTTTTTATTTAAATGCAACATATCTGTATCTGCCGAATCTCACTTCTATTACAGAGGCGGCAAAATATTTCTGATTTCAAGTGGGATCATTGCCATCCCAATACGAGAGGAGAGGATAGTTTATGGTGTGATAAGAGGGAAAAAGAGCAAATAGAGAAAAACATTGTCCACTCTAATTTTGTGGACAAGTTTTTTCTTAAGCAGAGAAGCAGGGGTTCAAGCAGCCCGTTCTGAATCGTTTTTGCTCAAAGATAGAGAGTTCTATGATACTTTTAATGAAAAGTGAAACTTTGCAGCTGGCTTGTTTAATCACAAATGCAAAATCCTTGGGCTAAACACAAATATAGCTGCATTCACCACCATATTCGAAGATAGGAGAACCAGCTTTATTATCTATAAGGTCCAGGTGTTGCATGTGGTATGTGTGGAGAGGAGCAAAAGGTGAGATTTGAACTTGAACGTTGGCTGGGCTGGATAGAGAAGAAGAGTACTAGAAACAAGAGGAGAACTGCTATCCATTGGCTAAAGGATGAGGCTGGATCCTCTCCTTCAACTATGAAACAGTTTCAAACAATTATTTTGTTTTCCTGATTTCCATGGTCTCAATCTAATGATCACCTCACAAGAAAACAAGTTAAGGAAGTTGTCTTTAGCATTGGTTCCACATGGTTTTCCATCGTTGTTAGTGGTACCTCATTGGCCCTAAATTAACTCAATTGATTCAAGATTGTATTTGAGAGTTGAGACCCTACTTGTATTGCATTGGCCCTAAACCAAACATTAATTTGCTTCATTCCCAAATATGACAGTGTGGAAGAAGCCAAGGATTTTAGGCCCATTGGGCTCAATAATGTAACCTACAATATAATTGCCAAAATTTTTTCTCTGAGACTCAAAAATATTTTACCTCATATCATCTTGTCCATTCAATGAAAAATTAGAAAAGTAAAACCGGTTATTTTATGTTGAAAGTGGATTTGTCTAAGGCATATCACAGGGTTGAGTGGCCTTTTCTCTTGAACATTTTGTAGTCTTTGGGTTTTGGGGATTCACTTTGTAATCTAATTTCACCCCGACCCTGAATCTCCACCCATAGCTTGGTAGTGTTAGTTAATGGCATTTTTAGTTAAGCATTCAGACCTACTAGAAGTTTTAGGCAAGGCTACCCACTTTCATTTCAGACATGACTGAGAAGTTTGTTCATGAATGGATTGTACATTCAGACCTATTAGAAGTTTAATGGCATTCTTGACACCATTGTACTTTGTTCATGAATGGATTTTCCCCGAGGGGCCTTCTAAATAAATCAGAAATATAATTTTGATAAAGAGAACCATGTAAGAGAGAAAGTGAAAGTAGTCGTTTGGCTTTTGAAGAAGGGCAAAAGTAGGAGTTAGGAAATTGAAAGTAAGTCATGTAGTCATCAATCATGTGAAGATAAAAAGATGGAGTAAAACTGAAAAACATAAAATACGAAGACAAATGGGAAAGATATGTCTAATCACAGGTTTGAATTGAATAGTATCAATTTTTATTTTTATTTTTTGAAAGAATATTATCAAAATTTTTAAGTGGAAAAATATATGACACCAGAAAGACACGGTACTGGTACTCGGAAGAGTTTTGACCAATCAAAACACCAGAAAGTCACCTCTTTTACGATACCAGTTGTTTGGTTGGTATCATTTTCGGTATCATGTCTTTTCCTGTATCATAGTCGAATCTTTTTTAAAAAGCATTAAAATTATAGAAAGTGCATTGTACAACAGAGGTGGCAAATGTGATGGCATGAAATCCCAAGGCCGTGTTTGGTTGCCGTGCAATTTTATTTATACTAGTACAAATGTATGAGAGTGCAAATGAAAAAATTGTAAATTTTGGTTTAATTTTGTTTTAGATTTTACTTTAATCTTCTTTAGGTCTTATTTTATTTTCATGTATACTACAACCAAATAAGGTAAAATTTGAAACAAAAATAAATAAATAATTTACACCCAAAATATTTGCACTGCTATAATTTTATATCAGTACAAATAAATTTACACTGCAACCAAACATGGCCTAGGGGTGCAAGTTGGCTGGGTTGAGATCAAGGTCAACCTAATCCAACCCCAGGTTCTAAATCTTCAACCTTTATAACCATTTTTTACCGTATCCTTTTTTATCAATATTTGCTTGTTTGCTGTTTAGATTGGTTTTTTATTAAAAAAAAAAAATCAATAAAGGAATGCTCCACAGATTAGAGTCTAGTATGAATTTTGATAGATCTCCTATTAAAAGTCTAAAATCATAAAATCAACAATAATAAAACATACAAATATAAAATGAAAATTACCAACGACACAAAGGTCTTTACTCTTTAGGATAAGGGCGGGCTTAGGAATTGAGACGAAAATGGATTATGATAGTATATGACAGGACTACAATACATATGTACATTAGTAATATTAATAGTAGAATCGGGTTCAGAATGAGTTAGATTGCCCAAGGCCAAGGGGGTCAACCCTAACCCTACATTCTTGGGTTGGGTTGGATTAAGGTTAGGTTCGAACTTACCCCACACAAGTTGCAGACCCTACAATTTACAAATGGTGGTGAGTTTACTCGTTTCACTAAATCCTTGAATTTATTGAAATCAAATTAGAGACAGAGAGAGAGATTATGATTTATATAAAACATACACGCATACAACTCGCCCTGGCCGACTCAATTGTCTAACATCCAACCAGGTCCCGCCACCTGAGATAGATTAGGCCAGCTTGATAATGCGTGTAAGCACCAGCCACAACCAAAATATGAAACAACTGATGACTGTGACCAGCAATGTCGAATTTACCAGGGTTCCACCGCTCAGGAATCCTAGTTACATAGACCACCGCCCCTATCCCATAAAACACACCCATCAGTATCTCGTAACCTGTGGTGTGGAGGGCCTCGGGTTGGTTCCCGAACAGTATTAGCTTGTGCAGAATGGGAGCTACCCCTGACATTCCCATGCCAAAGAAAAGGGAGGCACGAATGCTGCGGAACCCCGGGGTTTGGAACACCGGGAGAAGCGACACCATTGCTGTGGCGATCCCCAGGACTGTGATGAAGCCCAAGTAGAGGTTGCAGAAGAAGGGTTTGCACATGAAGGAGTAGTACACAGGAGGGTAGAAGGAGGTTGAGATGAGGGCTGCAATGCCTGTGTAGTCAAGCCTCAGCATTATGTAAGACAGGCGCTCAGAATGGCACGACAGCAGATGACATGTGCTGCTGGCTAATAGACAGAACATTGCTCCCCCCAGGAAGGCAAAGAATGGCCATCTTGTGATTGGTCTAAACATCAATGGTGCTATCATGTTCACCATATCCTCTTTCATGCTACGCTGCATTTAATCAAACCATCATGAATTAACTGGATTGTGTCTAGGAGAAATTGTCAAATCTTAAAAACAGAAAATAGGAATGGTAAACTAAATTCTTTTGTATCTTCTCATGGAACCTCAGTCAGTAAAACTGGATTGTGTCAAGGAGATTTGTTTCCCTAATTCGATCAGTGTCATATTCCCAAATTGAAGAATTAATTTTTCTTCAATCAATTCAAACATAGAAAAGTTGGCTATGACATTACTTCTCATAGTACAATAACAAATTAACACGCAGTTTCCTTTAAGGATGTTGGGATCAAAACTATAGAAATAAGCATCAATAACAGACAAACAAAGGAAGGAGGTCATTACCAGAACACAAGCATCACTGTGATTGCTGTGGGAGAACCGCTCAGGCAAACAATTTGTGAGAAGTTCTAGAATATACCAACTGGACAGTGATGGAAGCACATCCATTGAAGGGAAGGATGGCTTATACTCATCCTGCAGCCTTCGCAAATCGGGCATGTTTGGCATGGATGGAAGGCAAGTCAAGAGCTCGTGCAGATCAGTTTTTTTCAGCACTTCAGGAAGGTGATGCAGGGACTGGAGATCCACAACTTCTGGAACTTTCATTGTGTATATTGTCAGAGAGAGGAAAAGGAAGAAACCAATCAAGTGCCTGAAACAAACATGTCTAGGTTTTAGAGCAAGAACATTTCTAGACTGAGAAAGGCTGAAAAATATAAACTTCTTTTACTAGAACACATCCAAAGACCCATGAACTCATAAGTCATTAGAACCCACTAAGCCAGCTCTCCTAATTCTCTAACATATTCATTTTATTGCTCCTACTTCCCCTTTGGTTAGTCAAATTTCATTTATTACTTGAAAAGTAATAGCCTGGCAGCTATAATAAATTACACAAGTAAAAGAAGAAAGCCAGAAACATTCTTCAATATGGCAGTGACTACCATCTCAACTCTCAAGCCACATAGGACCATGAAAATTCCTTTTTATGCCTTCAACTATCAAGAAACTGCTTCTCTTCTAAGGGAATGGAGAAAACCCGGGCTGCAAGAGCCATAGAAGTCGGAAAATTTTGAGACAATCTTCAATAGGTAATCCTTGATGATTTATGCAGTTATAATCTCTCTCCTATCACCAACAAGATTTTAGGTAAGACAGCAGAGAACTGTCATATCCTTTGTTATTTAGGCTTCACCTTGAATACAGAGTGACAGGTTCAGTTTAACATTTATATGATCCAGATTCCTAATATGATATTTTGGGTGATCTACTACCACCCAATCCTTAAAAGTTAGCACTGTTTGAAGCTTGAGAGATCCAAGAATTGGACCTAAAAATTTAATAAACCTACATTTTATAGAGATTCAAGATAATTTCAAAACCTGAAGCTTGCATTCTCCCATAATGTTTTTTTTTTTTTTTTCAATTTGCAATTCCACCAAATCCAATAAATTGGGATTAGGAAATGAGGAAAAAAAAAAGATAAAACTAATGAGTTACCATACGTAGAGAAAATTCTCCTTCAACAAAACAAAACCCATTTAAATATCAGAAGTACAACCAAGACCAGAAAGAAAACCAGGGGACCTCCATAGAACGTAGAAGGGGGGGAAAATCAAACCTGAGATGGCAACATAATAAATAGGTAAAATAGAAAAGAAAGGATGAACTTTTGGGATATAATCCTTACGTCCAGACATTGAGAGTCTCGTTGTGAATAGTGAATATGCTTAAGAAGGTCTGCTTCAGCGGCCATTCAGATCTGTAATGACCCAAAATGAATTCATTGTCCCTCAAATACCCGGGCAATGAGTGGTACTCGACGAGCTGATACTTCACCTTCTTCCACAATCTCTTCCCTTTCCCTTCCTTGTAACGAACCTGATTCCCTCCTTCCAAACAACCTTGCTCAGATTTCTCGGAAAAAGACGTTAAATTATCGCAATTCTGACGACCGCTTGCCATCATTTCTTCAGACCAGAAAGCAAAAGAAAAAAATAGTAAATAAGTAAGCAAGCAAAATATAATGTCCAAAGAAAACATACCAGCAATTTCAGAACACCGGTTTTGCAACGGACCCAGAAGCAAATTCTCGTGATTTCTACTTATTTGATCAGTTTGGAATATCTCAGGCGGAAACCATCGGAGAATCCGCGACACGAAACTATATGGAAGGCGAGAAAGGTAATGCGCGCGAAAACGGGGAAATTTCTGTTAGAAGGATGAACAGCAGAAAAGTTTTTAATCTCCCTGACGAATTCTTTTATTCTTATTACTTGTTTATTCTGAGAAGAAGAGGTATCAGAATCTGTTATCTGTTGAGGATCGAGAGAAACATAGTGATGGGTTTGATTGGAAATGAAATGCGGAGGGGAGGATGGAGATGCCCGTCCTCCGCTGAAGAACGAGAAGATAGTTTGGTTCGTTACGGGGTGTGCACGGTTAGGCAGGGAATTAGAGAAAAGGACGATCCATCATCCATCGCTGATGTTTATTGTTTTAAGTTTTAACCATGCATCGACTCAGCATCGCCATCGCTGATGATGAAGCTTCACCAAAGCACCACATCTTAGCTTGATTATGATCTAATGATCATCATCATGATAGTCAACTTGCCTGACACTGACAGTGGCGAAAGATTCCATGACCATGAGGTGTATTAGACTATTAGTTGAACTTTCCCCGATTATCAAGTGGGGCCATGGTTAAGGGAATATGCAATGAGGATGCGTTTAACTATAGGATATACCGACTGAGAGGAGGATCATGCGTGTACTCATGGCCCCACATGGATGTACGTGAAGAACCCCCGAATTGCATTTTGGATGATCCACTGATGTGTGACTTTGGATTTGTCTTTTTCCAGTTTTGCACTGGAAAAAGGGGGACGATTCTCTCATTTTCTTGAGTCGAGATCTCTTTCCCCGAAAAACTGCCCCAACTCCCAACCGGATCTGTATCCGCATATTTCACCATAATACTGGACCCACGATTTATGAGATGTAAAGATACAGATCGTAATTTTAATACAACACCTAAAAAATGATGTTGTAGTAACTTATTTAATGCTTGGGGGTAATGCATTTCTTTGCTTAAAAGGGGGAAAGCACGTTTGAGAAAGAAATTTGGCGTAACAAATGCGTTTTTATTTTCCTTTATGCTAAAACGTTTAAGAAATATTGTTCAAAATGAAAAAGAAATAAAGCAAAAATATTTCGGAGAAAACAAAATGAAAGGCATTAATTTTAAGAAATTTGTTATAACAAAGTTTCTCCTTCATTTTTGTGAGACATCTGTATCTTTTTTTTTCATTTTTTTATGATGTTGATGGGAAACGAAAATGTTTGTTCATTTCGGTGACAAATATCCTTTGCCTACTCAAATCCCTCTTTTATGACGATTTTACAAAATTTTTCCAAGTTTGTGAGAGTCATACGCTATAAGAAAAGGGTAAATTGCTAAACTTCCCCTAAAGTTTCTGATTATTGCAATCACCTCCCCTGATATTTGTGATATAGGTGCAAATATATTTGTGATGTGAAAATATACAAAATACTTTTTTTACAACTTCTGCAAAATACTTATAATGTTATTTTTTAGCAAAATATTTATTTTTCTAATTTGCCTTTCATATCAATGCTTCAAAAGTAAAGATGCAACTTCAAATTCTCCTTTTGTATTGTTATTTTGGATATTTTCGTACCTTTTGTTAGTGAATTTTGAAAAAAGGGATCTATTTGCAACTGTCTGTGTTAGAAAATGCAGGGGAGATAAATATAATTACCGAAATTTAAGAGAGGTTTCAGCAAAAGTTATAAACTTCAGTGAAGGTTTTAGCAATTTATCCACAGAAAAAGAAACCTAAGCCTCTCGTTAAAAGACGTGCACATGAACGTGTCTAGCAACATGTGGTCAGCACTCAGCAGATGCGTTCCACCGTATACAATCAAATCAAACGTTGCCGGCAAAACAGTCCAAGTCCAAAATTTCCCCAATTTTGTTGGCATATCCATTGCTTGCCCAACCATTTCAAGCGACTTCTATTACTTCATACATTACGAAAACGATAAGGAGACCCCTCCTCTTAGCTCTTGCTGCCAGCCTGCAGCCACTATCATTCAAATTTATTGTTGTGAGAGTCTAGGCAGAGTTGTCTTTATTCGTTCTTTTTGTTTTTTAATGATCATCACGTAACGAAGTTTATACACTTAGAAATAAATTTTGATGACAATAGATTTGGATTAAGATATCGGTATCGAGTATCGTATTGGACATCTTAGATATGGATATGATATGGATACATTTTGAAAACACATGGATATGGACAAAAAATATGAAAAACTTGAATACACTAGATACAAATTTCATAAATACATTAATAACACTAAATTTATGATCAAATACCCATAAATTATGTATTATATATATATATATATATATTTAATGGTGTACAAAAAAATATATTATAATTAATAGTAGAATCCACAGATATCATACAATGCATTAATTAAGAGTCCAAGATGGACTTATTATACTTATCTTAACTATTATATCAATTATTTTCTATTTTATTATTTTTACATTTTAACATTAATAAAAGAGTTAACCAAAAATTAAATTCTCAAGTATAAATTAAATTATAATTTAATAATTTATAAAAATATAATTTTAAATTAAAATATATAAAATTGGTTAAAATTTCTAAGATATATATCATATGCAAATTCATAATTTTTAATTATTAATATAATTATTTCATTATTAAAAATTTTATTTGTATAAATTTTTTGAAATTAAAAATCAATTTTTCATATGTGTAAATTAGTAGATTTGATAAATTCAATTAAATATTATATTCTTGAATATTTTGCAAACTGATTTTTACTTTTTGTAAATAATAAATATGTTGTCATTTAATGTAAATTAAAATACTAATTAATAATTATAAAAATATATAAAATTTGTAAGATATATATCATCTAAAAATTTATAAATTTTAAGCAGTAAGGTAATTATTCTACTATTAATATTTTATTTGTATAAATTTCTTGAGATTAAAATCATCTTTTGATGTAAATATATTTTTGGGTACTCCTTTTGATGTAAATATAGAATTGATAGATTAATTATTCAATTTGTTTATAAAATATTAATTTTAAATATTACTTTTTTTAATTTTTAATTGGGGTTATTAAACATAAATATTGATTATTTATTTGGATAGGCATTAATAAAAATTGTGTTATTTCATTAAATATCACAATGCATGGCATATGCAAATGGTTTGATAGAGAGTTTAAGGCTTTTAGTGCCACACATGTGGTGTTTTGGGTTCAAATCACTCTATGTATTAAATCAAAGACGCTATGTATTAGTCCGATACATGCGATTTAAATCGAAGACGCTATATATTAGTCCGATACATGTGATTTAAATCAAAGACGCTATGTATTAGTCCGATACACGCGATTTACAAGATACGTTTCCATTTGTAATGTATCCTGTATCGCCCTAATACGATTTCGATACAATACACCCCATATTGGACTTTTTTTTTTGACTCCTTCAAGCATTAACCAATAATTCTTTATTTTTTTGGTAATAACCAATAATTCTTTCTCCAAGGTCAAAGGAACTTTCCTTTCATATGTGAGGTCCGGCCTACATGTATAGAAACGATTCGATCCCTTTAGGCCATGTGAAGTTATTTATTCAAGTAAATGTACTTATCCAGGCCGGGTAATGTTTACCTGGATAGATGCGTTTACTCATGTTCTTTTTATTTCTCAGGTAAACAAGGTAATGACTGTTTTAGCTATGAAACATCATTATTAAAAGAGACAATTTTGTCTTGTCCAAGGATTTGTAACTTTCTCCCAAGATGGGAAAGTTATACTTACTTACCTAAAAGATAGGTATTATTTACCTTGGGAAAATATAATACTTGGAGATAATAAATTTTTCGTAGACCCCACATAAATGTAAAAAAAACACATGGGTATCTTGGTCAATTGGAACCAAAATCCCATTAATCAACTTTTTCACCTCTCAAAATTCAAAAAACAAATAGGCCCTTAATTAAATGTGAAATCCAATCGGACTAGAATTTAATCAAAATCTGCCATGTTTTTTTTTTTAATTAAGAAAATTTTAAAAGAGTTAATTACCTTTATTTTTATATTTAATAAAGTACCATAAATATTAAATAGTGAATTTATTATATATAACTTAAAAATTTTATACTTTATATATATATATATATAAAATTATAATTATATAAATTTTATATATTAAAATAATCAAATTTGGATTTTAATCTGATCGAATGGAGTTAAATCCACATTCGATTTAATTATTAATAAAAAAAATTTGTGGAATCCCAATCCAACCCAACTATGTAAATGAATAATCTAAAATTCTAAATCCAAGATAAATCAATCATATGTCAAATAGGGTTTCAGGCTTTTGGAGTGTTTTGACAACCCTACAATCATGGCATGGGACTTCTGTAAATCCAAAGGCTGTTTGGTCACATGGGGTTGCACTAAATAGGCATTGTAATTTTACCAAACCAAAATTTATTTTGGTTGGACTGATTGAAATACAATTATTTATACTATTCTTTACCTCTATAAAGTTATCTTTGGAAGAAATGCCATTTTAAGTTTTCCTGTTTAGAGGGGAATTTCACCTATGTCTAATGGCATCTAATTTGATGTTAATCAACAATAAATAATTGTAGTATCTACGTACAAAAATTGTTTTTTTTTTTTTTCTTGATTACCAATACTCCAAATGATAAGACGGCACCAAAATATTCAATAAGATGGCAAACCATCACTCGGGCCATTCTAGAGCATTATTCGGTTAAAACCAAAAAATCGAATTAAAAATTTTCATTACATTTTTTTGGTTCGATTTTTTGGTTTTTAGGTAATTCAGTGCGGTTAGTTTGGTTTTTATGAATTTTGGTTTTCAGTTTCGGTTTTCAGAATTAAAAATTCAGTTAACTGAAAAAATTAAATTAATTGAAATTCATTATATAATATTAAATATATAATATATAATATATAATAAGCTATATATTTATATATTAATATATTATAATGAAATTCAATTTCATAATATATATTATAATATATAATATAATATTATATATATATATATATATATATATTCAATTTAATTTTTAATCAAAATAATCGAAAATCGAACCGAAAATTTCGGTTTCAGTTATTTTAGTTTTCTTGTAAATTGGTATTAATTCAATGTTCGTTTTTTTATTTCTGTTTTTTAAATTTTGATTTATTCAATTTAATTTTTAATCGAATAAACCGAATAATCACC